CAAAAAAAAATATCAAAAAATTGATGAAACACAATATCAATGCTCAAGCATTCCCAAACATCACACGCCACATCAACACCCCAAACACAACCACACACACACATCACAACTTCACTGCACACACCGATCTTCACACAAAAACACACAGCAATGAAGGTAAGTTCATATTGGCAAATTATAATCTGGTACTCACTGCCACTTGCCAGAGACCTGCCTTCGGACAAGGCCCCACCAAAGCAAGTTTCAGGTAAGTGAGGAGCATGTTCCAGAACTGGAATTTACTTACCTTCTCTTGCTTTCAATCCTTGCTCCTGGCTTGTCACTGTGATCTGGTCAGGTACGTGATGATTGTGGTCCAAAACTGGCATATACTTACCATTTCTTGCTTTCTCCCCTTGTTGCTTGATTCCTCCCCTCGCTGCTCGCTGTTCACTGTTCGCTTGTCGCTGCCCCCTGCTGCTTCTCACTTGTCGCTCCCCTTCTTCTCATCTCTTGCTTCTAGGTTCTCGTTTCTTGCTTCACACCCTCGTTTCTCACTTCTCGTTTCTCACTTCTTGTTTCTGGCTTCTCGTTTCTAGCATCACGCCCTCGCATCTTGTTTCTTGTTTTTTGGTTCCTGCTCCTAACCCCTCGGTCATTCTCGGCATGACGTTCCTCCAGGTAATTTTTCTATTAGGCGCCTTCTTCCCTGGCTAACACCATCTTTTCCAACTGCTGCTCTCATCCTCTCCCTCTTGTTTGGCGTGGATGCTGCTGCGTTTGCTGACCTGGACATTTCTGTCTACTTTGCCGTTCATTGTAGTTCCTAATTACCACAGAAGTTGGACCACTCAAACCTCTGTAGGTGTTTCCCAGTAAGCAATGAAGGCAAAGGGGAGAAAGGAAGCAACATCGCTCACATGTCTTGCCTTCTTCTCAGCTCCTACTTCCACCCCAATCGTGACCCTGGTCGACATATCCGTGTGACTGGAGCTTGGTGAGAAAACGGTGATGCGAGGAGAGAGAAAAATCGGGGGTACTGCCTTTGTTAAGCATTGGCAGGCAGTACAGGGAGGACATTGTGGAAAACCTGGCTAAGTGCAGGTTCAGACCATGATGGATGTTCATGTTAGCAATCCATTTTCATCATGGAAAGGATTCAATATGCAATGGACACGTTACTTGGCACAGTAGTCGTAGAGACCACATCAGCACCACAGAATACTCGTGGCCGCAAAGGATCGGGGGGTTTTAGGGTCTTTCGGGTTGGGTCCGGGTCCATTGACCAAATTTACCCACCCGAGTGCCGGGTTTTCATGGAAAATTTTCGGGTCGGATCCGGGTCAGGTATCGGGTCCAGTAGGAAAACCCTTCTCGTCAAGAATCAGACCCAAGTAAAACCCGATGTGATAGGGAAGCTAAAATGAAGCTATTGTTCTTTCTGTCTACGCAGACACTTTCCAAGAAGACGCAATATAAGTTTTGTATGTATCAAACAATTTGCATCACAACAGACATCGAGGCATGTATTTTCTCCACCCGGACACTTTCTCAAATCATTGATGGTACTTCAGTGATCTCTATCAAGTACAACTAACCTCTCTATCAATGTTACTAGAAATAAGATTCTGTCCACCCGGACACTTTCTTAACTCATTGACGGTACTTCAGTGATCTCTATCAAGTACCACTAACCTCTCTATCAATGTTACTAGCAATACGATTCTGTCCACTGTGACACTTTCCAAGAAGTCACAACGGAAGTTCTGTAACAAACAATTTCTACCACGACAGACCTCGAGAGCTGTGCCTGGACACTTAGAGTCAGTAATGTTCCAGCCACACCACAGCAAAAATAGACGCCACCTTTGTTAAACCAAAGCATAAGGCAGCGTCTGACGCAAGCCAAAGACTGGTGGACAGTTATCCGCTTGACACACGGAAGCGAAGTCTGCCAGCCCCCGAGGGGAACAGCATGCAGGACAAACGCAGACGTGTATCAGGACATGGTGGCAACAATGCCGCTCGAGAGCCAAGCTCCACATCTTCTTCCAGTGACTCCAGCGAGTTGGGCCTGGCTTCTCGGCGTGCACCAGAGCTTCCTGCCGACGTTAGGGTTGCTGACTCTTTGGTGCGACAGGAGCCTGCAGCTGGATCAGTTCAACCATCAATGCTTTCATCAGACGCAGATGTTGATAGCATGTCGGATTGTAGAGGTGGTCGAGGTGGCATAGCGAAGGATTACTATAAGGTTGATAATGGTCTGAGAACATGTTTGGTTGCGAAATGCAAGTGAAGCCAGAAGGTCGATAAGGCGGGATCAACAAAAAACTTCCTCCAGCATCTGAAAAACCACCATGGAAGTATTGCCAGGTCGCTTGGACTGTTGGACATCGTCCCCAAGGGACAACAGACTTTGAATTTCGGCTCGCAGGAGAAGGAGCAAAACTTTGTGTTCAATCTAGACGTAGCGTGGCTGTCGATTTTGGACTGGATTGCTGCAGACAATCAGGCTTTTACTGTTGTGGAGAACGAGTTCTTTGTCAGCATGCTGAAGACTTTTCAGCCAAACTATACACCAAAGACGGCAAAAGCAGTGAAGCAAAAGGAGATGGATCTTTACGATAGGCAGAAGGAGCTCGTTAAAGGTCTGATTGTTGGTCCGCCTTCAAAAGTATCAATAACAGCTGACTGTTGGACATCAAAGAACCAGATTTCTTTTCTTGGAATTACTGCCCACTTCATCACGAAAGAATGGGAGCCGCAGGACTTGCTGCTGCAGATGATTCCGATGGTTGGAAAGCATGAAGGCGTCGCCATGGCTAATCAGCTTGTCAAGTGTCTGGATGAATTTGGCATGCTATCGGGTGAACGCTCATTGTGCATTACAACCGACAACGGTTCAAACAACTTTACCATATGGTGCTAAGCTGGAGACGCTCTTGGAAGATAGGGATAACTGTCAAACAAATCGTGATGAATGCGGCCCAAGATTTGTTCTTCAAGGGTTGATTGACCGACTTAACTCTGACAGCAAGCTAGTTCGTCAAGCCCTGAACGAAATTCACGATGAATGCAGTGCACGAACGGAGTTCATAACAGCAGCAAATGCCTATCGTATGGAGTGCTTGAAAAGCTCTTCCTTTCAGAAGGAAACAACATTTCTGGACTTTTACAGGCGGCAGGGACACAAGTACGGCATTAGGAGAGGAATGCCTGTCACTGCAAAGGTTGACGAGTTCCAAGCGACCATCAAACCAGCAGATGAGGACCGTGAAAGGACAAAACAGGTCCTCAAACAGTCAGAACGACTGTTGAACATGACAAAATATCTTGAAGAGACTGCAATGAACGAGACAAGGACCTGCATCGCAGCAGAAGTGCGAGAGAAGGCTCTCATTGATGAATTGGGCAGGGCAGGTGCATTGATTCAGCACGGTGAGCACGAAGAGCTAGCAAGATTCAGGGAGATCACCGCTTGCAATGGAAAGGGAGAAGCAGGTGACTTCCCAGGAGATTTCACAATGGAAATCACGTGTGATTGCCCTGGAAGGAGAGCTTGCTGCTCTGAAACGACAGGCTGGTCATTCAGAAGCTGCAGCACCTGCGGCGCCAACATCAACAGGTGGCCCAATAAGCATATCGTCGGCTATCAAGGGGATTGGTAGAATTCCGAAGGTACATCGAACCAGTTCTCCAACGAGTTCCCTTGCATTGCTTAGCCTGCAGCAGCACCGTCATACGGCTATCCTTTTGGTGAAAGAGGTCATCCAGGGTATCTGCTTCCAGATGCATAAGATCAATGAGTTTATTTATGACCTTAAATTGCCGTCTCTTCCACCATCAATCAAGTACGTCAACGTTAACTACAAAGTCCTCTCCCAAAATGAGTTCTTACGGCCAATATTTGTTGAATCAGACGACCACTCAAGCCGAATATCAACTTCAAGTAGATGCTCAGAGCAGCCTTATTCTTCTTAGGGTGCACATTTTGCTCAGAAACTGGATACGGCACAATAATTTGCTAAGTACGTCTACCACTATCTATCGCATGTTCAGGGCATTAGTGGATGCATATCCTTCTGAGTGGCTAAGGTTCTGGACGGCATACATCAGGCATCTTTTGTCCATAACGCTCCCTGAGGTGGATTGGAAACCTTGGAAGACAGGTTTAGCCAATAATTTCATGCTTTCAAATGACGACATTGATCGGTTCATCAGGACTGGGTTGGCGAAGGACGTAACCAGTGGTGGATAGGACTCTGACAATCTGAACCAGATACAGAAGCTGATTTGGGCTGTTCCACCTATCAACTTGTGATTGTTCAGTAGAGTTTTGTTTCTTTTTACGATAGTTTTTCTAAATAACACACTGTCCACACAGATTCATGTAAATATCCGTGGTCTAACTCAAAGTTCAATCAATCCTCTCCTGGGCAGCAAAAACCCGGCGGGTCAGGGTCAGGTACGGGTTTCAACCACTTCGGGTCCGGATATTCCCTTTGTACCCGTCAGTGACCCAGACAAACATGACCTGACACAAAGGGTTTGATGCAGGTCGCCACTGAAACCCGGACCTGACCCGGACCTCTGAACCTTAGTGGCCGCCCACACCAGGCAATCTCCATTGGTTTCGTCTACATTATAAGGAGCCAGGGATAAGGAATGCAAACAATTTCAGACATCCTTGGAGTGCATAGATATACACTTCACAATCATTTTGTGAACGAGAACGCCTACCTACGCACACATATTTTCAGATGAGATCCTGGATATCCTGGTACTTCAGGCAGAGTCTGCCACGAGTCAAATTGTATATTTGATTTGTCAAATTTTATTGCACTTATTTGCGCAAGTCAAATAAAGAGTAGCTCCCTGATTTGCTCAAATGTGATTTGAGCAAACTCCCCCGCCGAACATTAATACTCTTACACTCCCAATTCCTCCTTAAACAGTTTGTGCTGGAACTGGGACTTTCATTGATTATCGTTGGAATTTGGGTTAGGTCTGTAAAGAGACCAGCTCTTTTAGTTCAGTTGGCTATAGCGTAGTGCTGTAAGAAAGAGATTGCAGGTTCAAAACCTGTCTGGAGCATTTCACTTATCGAGACCTGTCACGTGACCAGTAGAGTTGGACCTGGTGAGCACCTATGCCAGCTCGCTAGACTTGGGATACCAGTACCGGTGTAAGTCTTCTACTTGACTTGTATGGGTTGCTAGTCGTGCGTTGGTGTCGTTGCACACGAAACCAATTCACAAGTTTGTGAGGTCCGGACCTACACCTATGCAGGAGCAATCCTGATCAACAGTTCCGCCGGTGGAGCAATTATAGGCAAAGTGACCCACTTTGGGACTTGGGCCAACTCTAGTGCCTCTGGAGGTCGCACTGTAGCGAACAACACAGGAGTTTGAGGAATGCCAACCAACTTTGCAAGTTGTCCACTGCCTGGAAGCTTGGGGTGATCGCTCAACTCTACAGAGCTCCATTGCTGGAGCAACACACACCAATTCTATGGCAAAACCAACGCTAAGCAACTCTGGGAAATGCACAACTACTCACAACTTAGGGGCAACCACAATACTTCGCTATGCTGCGACGATCACAACTCACGGCAATTCCAGTGGGCCCAAAACATACCAGCAGTTTACGAACTTGCAGTACAATCCCTGCTGTTAGTCAAGGAAACCACTTGCCCAAACCTGCAGATGAAAAATCATCCCGCACCCCATCCTGCTTTCCTTTCATTAAGGGCAAAGGGGACAATCCGCAAATCTGAATCAAGGGGAACTGCAAAATCGCTTGCGTGAGCTGGTCTCAAAACTTACCTCTATGGTGTCCACCTGTCTCCTGAAAGTCAAATAACCTTCAGGTAACTGTCCTTGCTTCTACAGCAATCCGCAAGGCTAAGTCCGAAGACTGGGAGCAAGCGAACCAACCTACTGCTTCTGAAATCGTCTTCAGGTCACTCAGTAGTCTGTCTAGGATGATCTGTTGCTATTTGCAACACGCTCTTAGATCTGTGGTCACGTGTTCTATTTTTAGCCATTAACATAAATCTGAACAAATCAAAAATTATTTAAATTCTAAACAAATCAAAAATTAATTAAATTCTAAACAAAAGAAAGGAAATCCCATTCTCCCAACTCCTTCCCCAAATCTCTTTCTATGCTGTATTTCCAGACCTTAATTCACGATCTTTAGATTGTCATAGATTAGGAATTTATTTATGTCAGCCAAAAAGGGGGGTAGTCAGCTTAGGCACCCTACGACAACGGTCAACTGTAAAAGGCTTGCTGTGGATACCCAGGACGAGCAACAAGAACAAAACTTTTTGTTGCTGCATGACTTCCAGGGTTGTGGACACTGCCTGCATGCTATCCATCTTCAAGTGGAGCTTCTGTGAGCACATGGCCTTCACGTAGCTCAGCCCTTCTGACAGTTTCTGAAAATTGGATCTGAAGCCATTTTGGAGACCGGCTATGCCACAGGTCGACTCAATGATTTTGTTTGGGCAGCTCAAATTAAGCTAACAGCTAGTTTTCCTGTTAGATTGCTCCACTTGCTGCAAGATGCGGGAAAAGATGGCAGGTCCATCAAACTAAGGTTCGGCGGGTCCGGGTCGGGTCCAGGTTTCAGTGGCGACCCGCATCAAACCCTTTGTGTCGGGTCGTGATTGTCCGGGGACCCGCCGGGTCACTGACGGGTACAAAGGGAATACCCGGACCCGACCTGGTTGAAACCCGTACCCAACCTTGACCCGCCGGGTTTTTGCTGCCCAGGAGAGGATTGATTGAACTTTGACTTAGACCACGGATATTTACATGAACACTTTGTGTCAATGAGTTGAGAAAGTGTCCAGGTGGACAGAATCTTATTGCTAGTAACATTGGTAGAGAGGTTGATAGGGATCACTGAAGTACCGGAGAAAGTGCCGGGGGGGACAGAAAATATATGCCTCGATGTCTGTTGTGATGCAAATTGTTTGATACATACAAAACTTATATATGCGTCTTCTTGGAAAGTGTCCCCGTGGACAGAAAGAACAATAGCTTCGTTTTAGCTTCCCTATCACATCGGGTTTTACTCGGGTCTGATTCTTGACCCGAGAAGGGTTTTCCTACTGGACCCGATACCCGACCTGGATCCGACCTGAAAATTTTTCATGAAAACCCGGCAATCGGGTCGGGTACATTTGGTCAATGGACCTGGACCCGACCCGAAAGACCCTAAAACCCCGCTGATCCTTACATCAAACAGAGATTGGCAGTCATTGAAGATGGGATATTAGCAGCAGAGCAGTTTGAAGTAACAAAACAGTTGACTGTAAGTATTGATGTCTCTCTTGAAAGCAAACTGCTAATCAATGAGATATGAGACAAACATGGACAGTCAAATCAGAGCAGGAATCTACAACCCAACATGCTGAGAGTATATCTTCAAATCAGGACCAGATTTGGTTTGTATATAAACACTGGTTTAAAGACAGCTGCTAACTCAACAAGCATCCAGATTGTAATAGGACGTGATAAGTTTGGAGTGAACCTTGAGCAGCTTAGGACTGCAAGCATCAAGAAAATTTGCCAGAAACAGTATCACGATAGGACAATGTCCCTTCAACAGCACTTCAAGTGAAAGCTATTAAGAGCAATATGTATGTTTGTGAATTGCATTAATTCCTTTGTAGCTTTTCTGAGTAATCAAAATCCCACTTGATGTTATGAGGGCCGCCAATTGGACTCGGAGCCTAATCCAGTATGACAAAACGAAAAGTCAATGTCAACGAGCAGCTCTTCTCCTAATATTTAATCGCTTTTCTTAGCAATCAATCCCCATTTATAGGTTGAGTATTTATAGAGACAATTTATAATTGAATATGTATCCTATAGCAACTGCACTGAGTCTTCCTCCAATGGGGATAAGCGCTCACGCAATAGTGTCGCAATCACTCTTGCCGGAGTCAAGCATGGTTGTGGCGGTGTCAAGCGTGGTCGCATTGGTGGCCGCCGCAACAGGGGTGGACGTGTTCGCAACAGTAATGGGGAGGTAGATACGGTCACAACAGTAAGGGGAGAGGCAGACATGGTTCTAACAGTGGGGGCCGTCACAGCGCCAAAGAACTTGATGATAACGACGATGAATCTAATGCAGAAGGCAAAAGTCAAAGTGAAAGTTCTTCTTTAAAGCCTTGGATGATTTTTCTCAAGGAGACGAGAGGGGAAATGGATGCTACTGAGTGGAAAGAGTATAACATAACTAACCCATCAAATATGGTCTGATTAAATTTCATTCAAGGTACCTTGATTCACTTCTTCAACAGCACTAAGAGATCAATTTGAGGGTCCAGTAATCGGAAAACTCAGAAGTAGGAAGAGGAAGGTTGACGAGGCTGGAGAGGATAATATTGATGACCGCTTTGATGAAGGGATTGAGGAGGAACCTGAGGAGCCAGATGATGAACTTGAGGATCGTGATGACTATGCTGAAGGTGAAGACGGAGCAGATGTTTGAGGTTTCCCTGTTCTGTTACTACAGATTATAATAAAGAATTGCATCGAATTGCAGCGTCATTTTGCAAGGTTTAAACACGTGGGCTGGTTAATAACCAGCCGGCAGACGGCTTTTAGAACACCACCTCCTGAGCTCATGCTTTCTTGCAAACAGCCGTTAATTATTTTCCGGTTAAAGCTGTGATCTCTGTTTTTTGATTAGATTGAGATTTTATTGAATTTTCGTCACCTAGATCAATAGGTTTCAATTGTGTAGCGATCATGGTTCCAATGTCCAACCCCAAAGGAATTTCTATTGGTTGGGTTCGGTTTGTATTCAATTAATAATTATCTAATTTTCATCACCCGCGTGACTTCTCCGCATCACTCACGTCATCGACGCACCAACACCAACATCCACCACCCACGTCATCAACCATCCTACCTCCAGTTCTCTCCTTCTCCCTTTCGAAATGTCTCTTTCTGTCCCCTCAACCTATCCGTTGAATTCCTCTCCCTCTTCCTCCACAAATCCAAATTCTTTTACCCACCTCAACGTCACTGTGAGCGCCACCACTTCTCAGCAAAGTGCAACTACGTCACTGCCTACAACAACTTCTCACCTGTCGTCATGGCTTTCCTCGTCGTCTGCTCTCCCGCAAAAGTCTGTCTTAGCCGCTCGCATCGCTTCGTCGTCTAGCGTTGGCTTGCTGGACTTTCCCCCAGGTGTCTCCCTCTCCCCATTGCCCACCATCGACAAAACTCCTTCGAGATTCCTCAACTCGGCCGCTCTCAGACTCGACTATGAGCCAAACCCCTTCGACCAGTCGTTCGCTGCCTCTGCTCTCGGTGCTTCTGTCCCTGAACCTCCATCTGGAAACGCGAACGGTGCCGGCTTCACCCTGTCTCCAAAACCAATACTCCCCTTCCCAAACCCAAGTCCTCGCTACTTTTCATCTATTGAACGTCTAGACGGATTCCCATTCTCTCCAAGAATATTTACTTCACAGTACAATGATTCGCAGCAAAACTCCTCAAACCCGTGGTCGCCCGATTTCTTCTTCTCAAACACTTCGGTTCCTGTGCCATCCACTTCCTCGGGTCTCAGCAATGCTTTGAATGCTTCAACCGCACCCGAACACACTGTCGCGTCCACAGCTGCCTCGGCAAACCTTCCCACCATCGCTCCATCACAACTCCCAACTCCCGATGCCATCATTGTCTCTGCAAACTCTCCTGTTCCTCTTCAGCAAAACTCCTTGTCGTTATCATCGCATCGAGGCTCTTCTCAATATCCAAAATCCCTCTCCACCAATCAGCAAAACGCTTCTCAGTTTGGTCCATCGTTTTCTGTGCCTCCAGAACCAAATGTTGCGCCGCAGCTTCCACAGCTTTCATATACTATGCCAAATTCCCGTTCTATGCCAACCGGATTACCGTCACTGCCCAACCTCCACTTCTCTATTCCGAGCAGCACTCCGATGCTGCAGAACAACGCTCGCAATGCAGTCCAGGTGCCACAGCACCCATCGTTCGCGCAGCAGTTTCTGCAGCAGCAGCTGAGCCAGTATTCTCAACAGGGAATGCAGCAAGGTCAACAGCAGCACG